GAATCATAGAATCAACTAGGCTGGAAAAGAACTTTATGATCATCAAGTCCAAACATTAACCCAGGACCTACAAGAACTCTGTCAAGGAGACTGTGATCAGACGAGCCTCAGTTCTTCAGGAAGTGAGCCAAAAGCCCTAACAACATGAGACTGTCCTCCTCTGAACAACCATATTTGCTCTAAACTATGATCAGTCAAATCCGATTTGTTCATCCCTCCCCTTCCTTTACAATCCTTCTGTTCAAAGTTTTGCTTTTTTACCTTTTCTTTCCCTAATTCTCAAATCAACATTTACAGCATATTTCCTCCATACCAATTCTGGTGCTCTTTCTTCAGCCATTCTCCACAAACTCACTGGACTTGAACAGTCTTTCCTGGATCTTGCAAGTTCCCTTATACTAATTTTTGTTATTCTTCCTTAACAAATCTGCAGTGCCTATAAACCGTATCAAAACCATACATCCTTCTTTCTTCCATGTCTTATTGTTCTTGCCTTTTAAAATCTGAGATACTTTACAACAGAGACCGATCATTTGTCCTACCATATGACATATGGTATGTTAAGAATTTTGCAGGAATAAACAGCAATCTTTCCTCACATGAACAATGCTTGCTCTGCAAAGGCCCAGAAGACTGAGTAAAACAAGTAAACAGAACAATTGCAGAAATCTGGTGATTCATCTTAAACTTATGAATCTACAACTAATGGTTTATCTTTGAGCAGAGCTCTCCTGAAAGGCAGATCTTTCAAAAAGAAGTTCCTTCCCTATCTACAAAGAAATCAGAAAGACAGAATGGTCACTGGTAAGTATGACAGGTCGCTGTAAACAAAATAAAATATCCTTGGAACACACAGATGCAACATTAAATACATGTTAGCCTGAGCCTTTGAAGATCCTTGTGCTGCCTAAAAAGGAGTTTTTACAGTTATGCAATTCAAAATAGAATAAAAATTAACTTTTCATTAAGTTGAATGCGACTGTTAGAAAACACAAAACCTTTCATCTGCAATCTGTAGAAGCAAGACTGTAACATAAACTTCAGCAGCAATAGAAAGCAAGGGCTTTCCAACAGTTTTCTTCCCTCATGGGAAGAAAGGCTGTGTAATTAGTTAAGCTAGACATTATAAGCGTGAACAAAATCTGGGCCTTTCAGCTTTAGAAAACATCCACTCCAAAAATGGTATTTTGCTACAAACATGATGGTGAAACCTGCTCTCGTATTTCCTCTGGTTCCTCAGCCACACTGCAATGGCAATACTCTCAGCTGCTGGGTGGCTAGTAAGCCGGGGGACTGGGGGGGATACACAGAAACCCCACAAAGGGCAAGAAGAGATGATACACAGCAAAAGGTAAAAAAGGACAAAAGAAAGAACACATAGGACAATAAAAGAAACTTTAAAAAGACAAAATATACCACACACACACAAGCTGGGAGAAAAGTAAACAGGTTAAATAAAAATAGATTCAAGGCAAAGACAGAAGAGAACGGAAGCCTTTAAATGCTAATGAGAAGAAATGAGCCAAAAAGGAAAAAAATCTGGTAATGAGACATTCAAAAACCTGATGATGAAAAAATAAGAGAGAGAATAATCAGGGCTGAAAGTAAGAACAGTATCAACCAAACAAAACATGCAGTTAATTGTAATGCCATGGGAGAAAAAGCAATCTGTATTTCTAATTGCTCCTTGTAGCCAAAGGCATTATAAAGACAAAAGTAATCAAGTTTTTGATTCCAAGGAGCCAATGAAGATAAAAAACCAAAAGGACATCAATATAAATTAGCCTAAGGAAGAAACAAAACAAAAATACTCTTGGTTCAGGGTTTCTGAATGAGAAAACTTACTTTTAAAGAACCTGGTAATTTGTGTCACTTTTCCACACTAACCTCACATTTCCACATAGTAACTTGAGAAGTCAGCTCCCAGTAACATTCTTAATTCCACAGACACTGTGTAGGTGGGACCTGTCCGAATGGCAGCAGTAACAAAGCACAGAAAACAGGGACTCTAAAGGTACCAAGTGTCAAATTTTAGTCCCAATACCCTAATACTGTGGTAGCCTCAATGATGCTTTAACATTGCCATTCCTAACTTTTTGTCTTACCAGTTATTTAACTTCAGTTAACAACCCTTTAAAAGATACAGCATTTCATGTTGGAGGGCAGCAGGCGTCCCCAGTACGAGATGCTGCACATCTGACAGCTATTTCCATCTTATCTCTCAGTTTTTGTTTTCGTGGACTGGCTTCCGGAAGCACACAACCTTCCTGCACACAGGACAGACAATGTTTCTGCAAGCTGGCTGTATTACACCTATCACAACTTGTACACCTTTTAAACATCCCAATATCTGACATTTCTTTACAGGCTATATGCTTGGAAGTCCTCATCACGAAAGACAATGGAAATGGCCTAATTTCAGATGCTTTCCTGAACAGAAAACATGAATTTGCAACTCAGGAAGAGGAAGAAATCTGGGTACTCTTCATTTTATGCCTTTTTTCCAGAAGAAATAAAATGAAACTGCGTGACGGTTTGAATCCCTCCTTCTTATGCCCTTAAACTGGTTCAGAAGCAAACAGGGATACACATATACACAGGCTCAAAGAATTACCACACACCATGAAACATACTGCAATGCACGTTTCTGCCCCTAGAGCTTCTTTGCTCAAGTACCCTTTGGCTTTTCGTAGTTAAGCACCAGTATTCAAAGGCTTCTTACTACAAGCACACTCTAATGCCAATGACAGCCTCTTTATCCTTCCAGCTGTAGAGCATACCTTCCCTTAATGCAGACTTCTCCCCAGTTCTAGTGGAAATAACATTTCTCAAGTAGTAAAGAAGGCCCTTCACTCAGCATGGTCCTTTTTGCTTTTATGTGCCTTTTTCATGCCACTTCCACTTACTAAGCATGCATACAGGAATACGTGTTAATGCAGATACACAGTCGAACTGCATTCGACTGGTAAGAATTCCTGAATCTGTAACTCAGATTAGCCAGACCATCCCAATGATTGGATAAAGCATAAAAGCAATACAAAACCACAGGTAACTCACCCTATTGATAGTCAGACTCCAGGTCCAAGAACCCAGACCTACCTTTTGCCCTTTTGCATTCCATTCGTAAGAAACTTTCAAGTAGAACCTGTACTCCCTCTCATGGTGGCTGCTTTCACCACAACTCACTCAGGTTTAAGAACCTCCACTGGTTTCAGATTCCCATTCTGCCCTTTGCCATCCCCATCTGCTGTTGCCATTCAAACACCCTTAGCAAAACTGAGGTCTTTTTAAGGAAAAGGGTGTGTTGTTGTCATTAACATAACCCAGATGGCCTCTCATGTTGCTTAAATTTCTTCAAGATACACTTAAACTACATGAGCCACTTCGTTCAGCCATAGGAAGGTCACACTAAATTCTTTTGATCATTCCTATTAAATGCATCTGTTAAAACAACTGTTTTAGAGAAAGATGATCCTTTATGTAGCTCCATTTTCTGCATAACTTTCATTAGCTTGCCAGGCTTTGAGTAGTTTGTCTGTTGCTGTTGTCCCTAAAACCCAGTAACGTTTGTATTTTTTCTTCAGAATTTCAGTTTGGACTAAAAACATCCTTTATCAATAATATCATCCAGCAGCTCTTCCTTTTCATTATAGTCCTCAACACAGGCAAACATTAGCAGTGTTTCATTTACTCAGGAGTAAATAGATGAAAACAAACAGAAGAACCCCTCATTATTCTATTCTCAAGCCTCTTGTACCTTTGTACAAGGCTTTTTAAATCAAATGCTTGTGGTGGATATAATTTACAATTTCTGGCTTTAGATGCTGAAAAGAGACCGGTAATGAAGATAGATTACATTCACGATGAAGTACACAACACTTACACAGATTCCATTGTTCTGGAGGAAATGTGAAGGTACAGGTATTATTAGTGCACTAATATTTGCTAAGAACCTCTGGTGAAGGGATTATCATTATCTACTTCAGTAATGTCAGATTTTCCTACTACACAGGAAATGAACAAAGGACAATAAAAGAATATGCATAATAGTAACTTGTAATGCTCTCTGCAATCACTGTGTACAGACAGGTAACCTGTAATGCTACAAGGTCATCTACTAAACCTGAAACCATTCCTTTTAGTTTCCAAAAGGACATAACGATTTTCCTTTGAAAAAAAGTCTCCAAGACCCATAAAAATTATCAGTAGAGTAATAAATGCCACGAGCATGTGCGCTACTGTGTCAATAAAACAAAACACCCTACAGAAGACATGCTCATCAGAGCTAAAGGGCTGACATTAGTACAATCTTCAACAGCTGACTCTTGCAAAACTTGCTGTAAAGTGTCTGCACCTTATTTGGAATTGGGCACAAAACCCAGTTTTGGCTATTTTTTCCTTTGAAAATACAAGTAAGAACGGGAGAACAGTTACTTGAAAAATCTGAAAAAAGAGGAACTAAGTACCAGCAACAAAGGACCCATTTTCTAGCTGTTACAATCACTAAACAAAGATAGGTTTGATTTGATTTCAATTATTATGACTTACTGACATTTGTATCTCCTTTGAAATTTTAAAGATTGCAGCAAACCCTTGAAAGGGAACTTTTTCTTCATCCATACCTGAAATTCTGAAACAGCCTTTATGAACAATTAACTCCAAAATTTGCTCTGTAGATGAAAGAGATCACACGCTACACTAGGCAACTAACAGATAAAATGCTTAAGATGCAATGACTACTTTATAATATATTGTTAATTACACACACACAAGTGTCTCAAAGATTTCAGTATAAAGCTGTCCCTCAGAGAATCTATTTTTTTACTGGAGGACAGAAGTAACAGAACACTCCTTTATGAAGAATGGTTAAGACCAAAAATTGTAGGGTTAAAAACATATTTTTTCCCTTAAGAACAATAACCTAAAAGATAACATGGCATCACAGCAATTATCATTCAAGCAACAAGTGCGTATATATATATACATATATATATTCTCACCAATTCTATGAGTGTCCTGATCCTGATGACTTTCCCCCTTCAAGGCTGTCATTTTTTTATGAGCATCAACCCACCATGGTTTGTACTTCAGAACATGCTGAACAGCTTCATCTTCAAAAAAATCAGCACTGGGGGGGGGGAAAGAAGAACGAAAACAAACACCAAAACCAGTCATATGCTATTCCAATTTACAGTGTACGTGGGTATATTTTAATGCATACATAGAATACACCTGACTTGGCTGTAGGCTACTTTTCATACATTAGAAATAATTTCTGACACAAAAGCAGAAGATAATCATTATTAAAATAAAAATTAAAACAATATTCTCCTATCTTACAATATCCCTTCCTTACTTTCTCTACCTTTCCTGAGCCACCCAGAAACCTGGGAAATTGATGAGCTGGCAGCATGACATGAAGGTGAACAAACCTGACTTCTTCTGGGTGTTAAAGGAAGACGTTCCAAAGAGAAGAATTCGCAGACAGTGTCACTGGCAGCAAATTGCATTTTATTGGGAAGCACTAAAAACTTTGGGTACTTTTGCATATACTTTGGGAAAGGGTATGCAGCTCAAGGGCAAAGATACAGTAGGGATGGACTTCTAGGGAAACAAGGGCCTGCCTAGTACAGCAAGGTGGAAAAAGAAGAGTTGTACATTAATTCTGGAAGACAGATTTACCTCCACCTCAGCAAAAAGCCACTGTGGTAAAAGTCTCAATATAGTAATTCTGGGAGGACTTATACCAAGTGATTCAAGTTCTAAGCCTCCTCTTATTTTAGCTTTTTCTTCACAACAAGCAATTGTATAAATATTGAGAACTAAAAAAAAAATGCAGGAAAATTCATAATACCTTCCTAATCATCACACAAAACCTGTCCAGTCTACTGAACAGACACAATCTGCTTTACTCTCACACTGACAGGTTTTTGTTGCCTTCCTTCAGTATCTTTATGAAGTAACTTAAAGAGATCAGCAAGCGTGCATTTTACTGAAAGGCAACAAAACATTTGTTTGCCAGTTTCTCCCTGATCTGTCCTCAGGATACACAAGAAAACATTTTTTGTTGAAGAAGGACTGGTATCATCTGAAGCAACCAAAACACAGCCATTAAACTGAATGTTTGCAGCTCATTTACCAAGCCAGAACACAGGATCTAAAATGGAAACTCACAATTACTGTCAGTTGCGTCACATTATAGGTTAGGAACTACTTCAGTTCTAAGTGAAATGTTCTTCCAAGTGATGGCTCAAGAAGGCTTTTCTATGTGCTACAGAAACACACGGGAAAAATACCAAGCTTGCAAAGATAACTTCTGAAGAAACTCAAAGTGCGTTAAGCCTCCCTCTCACCAACAAAACACAAGTACTAATTCTCCCTACCAGGGACTATGCTCTTTTTCCACCAAATCAATCTTGCAGGAGTCACAATATATTAATAGAGCTCACGGCTTCACTTTAGTTTACTTATCTGGAAGTCTCTGAACCCAACTTGACCTGAAATACTCAAACTTGAAAGGCATGAAGAATCACTTCCACCTTCATGTTCACAGGATGAAGCAGAAAGAAACACGAAGTCTTGGTTTGGAACTTTTCCTCATTCTGCTGTAAAGCTATAATTTTTTAATCTTAATCATTTTTGAAAAGAAAAAGTGAATATTTCAATTGAGGTACTTCTACTTGACAAGGTGAAGTAAATCAATACTCACAGGTAATGATCAGGCTCAAACTTGGCAGCCTCAGCTGCCAGACGTTTCCTCCTACGCTCATCTACAGGAGTTTGATCTGGATCCTTAATGTCAATAACGTCACTGAGTTCATCCTGAAAATGCAACAAAAATTATAGGACCAGGCCACATGTATCACATACAAGGTTTATTCAGTAAGATTTTAGGAAGAATGCTTATCAGCATTACTACACTGAAATCCCTAGATGCTCTTCAATCTCCCTTTCACATCTTCCAAATTCATGCTCCTTTGTGCAAATAAAACATCAAAATTCCAAAGAAATTCAATTACTTGAAGCTCCTTAGAATTCAGGATATTATGAAGTCTATTCAGGCTGTTTTATCATAAGGCAGCGGGTTACTCTGCATTATGATCAAATCTGCAATGTTTAACAAAAGCACACAACCACAGACATGGTAAAACTCATAGATACTGTTTTTGTGACTTTTGAGATTACTCTCAGAGTCTGAAGTGGCCATACATTAATTAATGGGCAACTGTAGTAACATTTAGGCATCATTATGTAGTGGCACATTAAAGCTGATAGAAAATGTACTTCTTCACAAATTTCATTGTAATAAACTAGTGTACACATCCTAATAGCATGTAAATACATTCTCCATAAACAGCAATCCTTCTGCTCCAAACTCTGATAATTCTACAATTCATGCAGTAAGTAGAGTTACATAATTAAGCTGCTCTAAGGAATTACAACTTAAATTGCTTAACACATAAGAGTAAAGTAACTGCATTTCAAAGCTCCTATCTTAACAATTAATCTGCAAAAGCAAATTGCAATGCATCAGCATAACCCTCATAAATCCCACAGATATCAGGTGGACAGACAGCCTGAAGAGTGCACACTTCAAAAGTTACTGTCTGGTAAGAAGAGTCTAACATAAAAATGAGAAAATCACCACGAATTTCACAATGATAAAAAATTTTACTGCAACAACCACACAGATTAGCCAGCTTTCATTTGGTTGTTGGTTTGGGTTTTGATTTCTCTTTAAGTTAAAAAATAATTAAAATTCATGGCATCTGAAATACACTGTACATTAATGTTAAGAGTTTGAAGTCAGAACAGAAGACAGTACCAAATATAATGCAAAAGTGTTAAAGCAGACTGTTAACAGCCTGCAGACTGTTTGCAGCTTGTCAGAACTCTTCACCTGGCACGTGGCCTACTTCATAGAGGCCTTTTCCCATGCCTTCACAGGCCAGCTGAGCCATGCTGGTGATGGCAGCACACTTCCAGAGCCTGATTTTACTAAGGGCCCTATTCAGCCCTTCAGTGCTGAAATTACTGCAGAGACAGATCAGCCTCTTGACCCTGCTATACAATTCACTCAATCTTGACCACCCCCTATTTCCACAGGAACAAGGATTTGTCTGTACTACTACATGCAAAAGCAGAGTATTCTCAGTAACAGAATGGGATAATGGAAAGCAGTTACTTAATGATTCCCTTCTGTGCACAGAACAAGCCTGGAAGACTGCCCAATACCCAGTACTTTTATGATAGGAAAAGGCAAAAATGCATCTACCTGCAGCCGCTGGAACACCCCTGACCGCAAGTTCCCAAAGCCGTAACAGTACTGTAGTGGTAGACTGCTTTCTGCACTGTCTTTGTGAGGGGTCTGCTCTATTTCCCAGTCAAATTCTTCTTCCTCCTCCTCAGACAACTCAGCAGAGGCAGCTATATGTATTGCATAGTCAGAGAAGGAAAAATCATTGCACAGAAAATACCTATGTTTTAATAGAAAGTCAAACACTGGTAATACAATAAACCTTCTTCATCTTACTGCACCTCCTAAGAAATCTTATACAACACTGGGTCACACAGACAGATGCTAATATCAATAATCCATAGGTTCTGCTTCAAATTCTCCAACTTACAAAAATGAAAACCAGGAACACTAAAGTTTTTAACTATATGCCTTCAAAGACTGAAATAATTGCTGCCTTGATTTCAGCAAGATCAAAACTTGATGCTGAGACAACACTAACCAGAAGCAAAGCCATGTTATCAACAATTGAAGAAAAGCATAAGAAAATTAACCACAAATAAACATTTTTGTCTTAAATCATAGAATCATAGAATCATTTTTGTCTTAAATACTGATGTTAAAGTCGTCCACTAGAACCTGAATTAGCCTCTACCATTTGAGCTACAGGTCCAGTTGTGCTAGTGTGTAGAAAGCAGAAAACTCAACTGTGTGTGGCGGATACAGCCACTAGAGGGGTACAACGATCTACAGAGGATCAGCATAAACTAAGCACATTTTGGAAAAATGTAAATATAACTAATAAGACACGTGTATCACATGCAATACTTTTGTTTCTATATTTACCCATACTTTCAGATCCATTCACAGCCTTCTTGTACCTTGGACAAGACACTAACAAATACTGTAGTTTTCTACATGTATCGCTATGTAGTTCTATAACTATTTCATTATGTACATGTATAAATAGGATTGTTTCGTCATACCTATTTCTTCTACTAAAGGTTTTGCTGATCTTGATTTCTTTGGTGCTAAAAGAGATGTCAGCATGTCCAGTCCCTCAAAATACTGTCCAGGAATCTCCTTAGGTAATTGAATTGTAAAAGCTCCTTAAAAGAAAGTCAGAATATAGTTACTGCATGAAAATATCCAAAACAAACAAAAATGTGCATTTTCTTTTAATGAAAGACTCACAGAAACCAGGACATACGCATTTTATTATGCATCAATTTCTGTGCATGTTTTTAACCTGAGTTCACAAGTTTCACAAAACCCAAGTATTTTAATGATAGAATATGAGACAGAATATTTAACGAGTTGTGGTCTTTTGACTCACTTTTATATAAACCAAACCAACAAAATACAAGCTTCATTTTATTTTTAATCCTTCCACCATCAATCAAGCAATCAACAGATCACAGGAAACTATATTCAGCAATTCATTGTCCTAGTCAAGCATGTAATAAAGACTTCGCAAGCAGCAAACTATAAGTTTTATTGGTAGGTTTCACCAATTTTCACCTAATTCCAGAAGTTGTGTGTTTTATTCCAAAAATACCTTCCACCTTGAAGTGTGGAGAAAGGCTAATGCCTTCTCTCTCAAAACATAGCCAAGGGACTGCCTCAGGATTACCTCATTTCTACTCAGCATTACCCGACTTCTTTGCAGATTTACTAACAATCTTAGTACAGCAATATGCCTGTCCCCACCAGGGCTTGAAGAGGATGTGTACACAATTATTTCATTATTAAGACAGTTCTGGACACATCCTCTGAGCTTAAGGATGGCCTGAGTACACACAAGAAAGTATGAAAAAAATCTTATTCAAGTTAAGTAACATAGGAAAAACTTTACCTTTATTTACATTGTTGTGTATTTCACTAGAGTACTATGTAATTCCAGTGCAACATATAAATTATTGGAGAGTTAGTAGCATTTTTATTGACATATATAGTAATAACATTAATGAATACCTTTGTCTGTATTATAAGATGCTTTTTCTCTGCCATCTTCTACAATTCTTCCAGGAAGCGTCAACCTACAAGCAAAAATGAGATGCCTCATTGAATGCCTCACTAAATCTACAACTTAATGTCTCAGCCTATAAAAACATAAGGCATATTCCAAAAGTAGCACGAAGGACTTAGCTACATGACTCCTTTCAACAGTAATGGAAGTCACGTAGATAAATCCCCATTTACTTCAAAATCCATTTCCCTAAATATTGGCACAAGAGATCAGCATCTGAGATGAGATTTGTGACTCCTGGCTCCCGGCCTGGGTGAGGTTACAACCACCACAGAGATGACACCCTTTGCATTTATATGCAGCACTTGGAAGATACTACAATTTAAAAACTATAAGCTAACCCACAGTGACAGGATATGAGAACTCTCAAGAGCTCCTGTTTTGCTTATTAAGAATAACTAAGTCACTCATTCTACCAGTCCACTAAAATCGCTTGTGGTCTACTAATGTTTAAAGCGGAAGCATGCCCAAGAATACAGGATACAGAAAATAAGAAAGGTTAATAGCTTGTCATGCCAAAGGTTCTCTTAACACTCTCACACCAAGACTGCCTCTTCTTCCTTTTCTACAGAATATTGGGGACTCTTCTATCTAAAGAGAAGATACAGCTGGAAGCTCACTTCCTACTGCCTCCACTCACATGGCTTTTCTCTTATGTTATTAAGAGTGCATCAAAATCCATTCTTCATCAAATATACCATGTCTCACTCTCAAGAGGCAAAATACACATTTGTTCTACACATCTTGCATCCAGAATTGTCTTCCCATTTGACAATCATAGAATTACAGAACAGTTTGGATTGGAAAGGACCTTAAGATCATCTAGTTCCAACCCCCTGCCATGGGCAGGGATGTCTCACACTAGACTATGTAGCCCAAGGCTTTGTCCAGCCTGGCCTTGAACACTGCCAGGGATGGAGTATTTATCACTTCTTTGGGCAACCTATTCCAGTGCCTCACTGCACTTACAGTAAAGGAACTTCTATTCTTTAATAATCATCATCATCATCATCTATTAATATTTAATCTATTAAAATACTAATCTTTAATAATAATCTATTGTAAAATAAATTTAGAGGAGTATTCCTTTAAACTCCCTTTAACGTAATTTAATGCCTAACAATGAAGTGCCCAGATCCATAAAAACAATCCTTTGCACAAAACGGGCTGTCTGTAGTTGACAGTGTAAAAGCTGCAGATGAGGAATGTTCTGAAGGGGCCAAAATGAAGTTCTTTCTCTACTGAATATATTTACTTAATAAAGTTCAATTTTTGTTTAAATCCTTCCACTACTTACCTAAGGAAGTATGGCTTAGCATAAAATTTAAAATCTTCCCCTTCAAAATACACATCAAACTCTGAAGCTCTGGCATAAGGCACTTTGATTACTATTGTAAGAAAGTCAGGATCCTGGGTCAGTTCAAAAGCTGGAGTTATCATCATGAATCCAGCAGGAAAAGCTGCGTGGCCCTATCAAAACAGAAAAACAAAGAAAGATCACTGTAGTTTCCAACTTACCAGAGCAAACGGTATCTCTTCAAAATTCTCTAAGAGGAACATTTCAGATTCTAACAAAAGTATCTTCCATGTGCTGAAGAAGAAAACACAACAGCAGCAACAAAACAAAAGTTATCAAGAATGTGAAGGTACCACCTCTGTGCTTCTTAAAAAAATAACTGAATGTAAAGGAACGCAAACATTTGGAGCACAGGAAAGCACCTATTATGCTCTGTTTAAAACCCACTAAAGTCAGTCCTGGAACTTGTCAGCTTTTTGTAGCTGTGGTTTATAACTATGTTTAAATCTTTACAGTTCATTAGTGAACTGATCACAAATCTCTATTAGAAAATACTGAAAAATGGTAATACTTCCAAAAAATTAGGCTGTATTTCATAATGCATATACCTATCAACCAGAACACAAGCAAAAGATCGAGTACACCCCAAACAGATTATATGGGCACGCGCACTAATGATACTGCTATATTCAATGCATAATGGGATAGCACACAGTAATTCAAAGATGCTCCTTTGCAGCACATTCATGACACAACAGCTTAAACATGAGCAGCTGACACACTCAGGATGTCCAGCATGAGCATGCTTATATTTTGATCAGTTTGTAGGCGTTCCACAAATCTGAAGAAGCATCCTAAAAAACTCGCATGCCTTCCTGTCCTGGGTTCAGCAGTAGCAGTCATTTTGTCCCCTTCCTAGTAGCTGGTGCAATGCTGTGGGTTTGACTTTCAGCCTGGGAACAGCACTGATAACACCAATGTTTTTAGTTGCTGCTCAGTACCGTTTACTCTGACCAAGGACTTTGTGAGTCTCATGCTCTGCCAGGGAGGAGGGGAAGCTGGAAGGAAGCAGAGACAGGACACCTGACCCAAACTAGCCAAAGAGGTATTCCATACCACAGGACGGCATGCCCAGGATGTAGAACTGGGGGCAGTTACCTGGAAGGGTTAGATCACTGCTTGGGTCAGGCTGGGTATCAGTTGGCAGGTGGTGAGCGGCTGTATTCTCTTCCCTTGTTATTTCCCTTATTATTATTACTGGTGGTAGCAGCAGTGGTTTGTGTTATACCTTAGTTACTGGACTGCTCTTGTCTCAGCCCATGGGAGTTACATTCTTTCGATTCTCCTCCCCATCCCTCTGGGAGTGGGGGGGAGGAAGGGCGAGGACTGAACAAGCGGCTGCGTGGCTGAGTTGCTGACGGGGCTTAAACCATGACATTTCCAAAGATTCAGTGGAAGAAAATATACCACAGTAGCAGTAATGGAATTAAATTCCATAGAGGATACCTGCCACCTCCTTCACCAAGTGTTTTTTTAAGGACAGTTCATGATTAGCATCCATCAGAACCATACTTATGTATGTACATGGGCATGTGTATATATTTAGCATGAGAGAAGGGACTTACACAGTACCACTCACCTGATATACAGCTTGTCTGACCCTTCAATAGTTTCTAAATGCAAGGCAATTCCCCAGGTTTAGCTTAGATTTCAGCTGGGGGGAGAGGAGGGAAGAAGGGGACTTAAACAGAATCACACATCTTTGAAAACTGCAAATTACCTTTTTCAGACAAAAATATTTTCTCCAAAAAATGCAAAATAAAACTTATCTGGGAAAGAGCAAGTTGTCACTGACTTTCACAGTTATCTTTATTAAACATATCCCCATTCGGACAACTTCATGAGAGCTAAATTAACAGATTACACTTTTTTCCCCTACCTCACTTGACAAGGATGAAAAATAAATGAACTCCAGTTTCACCATATCGCTTGATTCCAGGGCACTTGATTCCCACCCTTTCCAGGCTGAGAAGCTGCCATGTGTTTACTGAGTTGTAACTAGATAGGAGACACCTGGCCTGAAAAACACCCAATACACACTTCTGTGTACCTTCTTCTCTATGCAAACACCACGCACTGTCCAATGAGAAAGGATAGATAACAAACCCCCATTTATACCCCTCAAGGATGATGTGCCAGCCCGCATGTTTATATTGCAACAGCCGTTCCCACCTCCCAGCACTGCCACACCTTCGGCATCCCCTAACGACCTCAAACTAATCGGGAAGCTCCCGCACAAATCCCAGATATTTCACAGACCTCATTTTAGGAACCACGCAATACCACAACATTCAATCCCCAGCAGCACTTCCCACAACCGAAAATCAAGGTATCAAAAAACAATGGAGCTTCTCAACCTTTTACTGGAGAAAAGTAAGAGCAAGTAGAACTAAAAAAGTATTTCTGTTGCAGCCAGGAAAAGGGACAAACTGCTTTTCCCTCAGAGCACCACGGTAAGGCACAATGTGGCACCGCTCCCGGTCAAACGCCGGCTCCCCAGCCGCACCGGGGGTACACAAAGGGAACCCCGCCAGCCGTACCCCAAACGACCCCGGGTCGAGCGGAGAAGCCGCTCAAGCCAAGGTGACGCGGTGAGGGAAGGGATGAGCCGGGCTCGCCACCAGCAGACCCGCACCACGGCTGAGGGCCGCGAACCGCCGCCACCCGCCGAGTCCCTGAGAGCGGGGAAAGGCTCCGAGACCACCGCTGCCGGCGGGAACACGGCTCCACTCAAACCACGTCCCCGCCGTTACTCACCACGCCGGCGCCATTCCGCTCCCTTCACCGCGCAGGCGCAAGGAGCACCGGCGGCGCGGGAGCCAGCTCGCTCCGCCCCGAGGGATGCCCCGGCCCGGCCTCCTCCTGTCTCACAAACCGCCCCTCTTGCTGCTGCCCGCCTGCGGGGGAGAGCGAAAACGGAAGGGTGGAACCGGCGAGTGGGCGGTCAATGGCATGGGGGCCGGCTGAGGGAGCACCTCCCACCCCTCGGGGTTGGCCGTACGTCGCGTTCCCTCCCTGTCTGCTGCTGGCCGGGGAGCCGCTGGCCAGGGTGACCCGTTCCTTCCCTTCTCTCCCCGGCTGGCTTTGTGTTTGAACAAAAGTGAGGGTTTGGTGGGCTTGTTCCTGCTTCAAGGGAAATCCAGTGATCTCAAGAGATAAAAGTAGTATTTGATCAGATCCTAATCCTCAACTCCCACCAAAATGCTATTCAGAGGATGGGGTGCTGCAGTCTGAAGATCGCTTCCATAGCCTCTGTGCTTCCCACACACACACACTTTGTGATAGCTGCAGTAGGCATCAGACACGGTCAAATACTGCTTAAACGTAACAGGCTGTGGAAAGTTGATGGTGTTATCTCACAGCTCAAAATATAAGAAATGCTTGTATATGTAAATAAAGGATCCAGTGAGAGCAAATGCGGCTGGAGAGGAGAGAATGAAGTTAGTAACTGAGTAAATACAAGTAGGTTTGGACCTAATATAATTTAAATTGATGTGGTAAGGATAAAATGATTTCAACAACCAAAATACATTGAAGTGGAGGGCTGCAGAAATAGAGGAAACAGAAGAGTGGCCCCAGGAGCACTGCTGGAATAGTAATTCTCGATTATGTAAGTCTCTTCTAAGACAGCAGATAAAAGCGAACAAGATTGACAATGTGAATAGAGGGTGATCCTGATGAATCAAAAGAAAAATGGCATTAAGAACAAGAACCTCAAAAAATGCTAAAAGCAGTAAAGTTGGTTTAAAAGCCATAATTTACTTATCTTTAAATACAGCACCTAATGTAGAATTAATCAGATTTTTTCTGACATTGGACCAAGAAAGTCTGGTTCCAGATAATTCTCTAAATTTTTAAATGCTACTGACTCTCTCCCTGCCCCCTTTGAAATGCATTCAAATGTTTTTCCTGAAGGGGAAAAACCCATAATTATGTAACTTCTGCTAATGAAGTATGCTTGGGGGTTTTGGGTTGGTTTTGGGTTTTCTGAATAGACAATCAATCTTCCAGGGTAATAAAGACTGATTTGTCTTGCTGGAAATCCACTGCAAATGGCATCTTTTCATGAGAAAACATCTTTATTCTTGTACAGAACTGAATCAGGAGTTTAAATACTGCACAAAAAATAAATAAGTGCTACAGAACTGATCCAGATCATTCCCCCCATTGATGTAAAATTGACAGATCATTTAATATTCTGCCTAAACGTTCCAGGGTGCCAGTTTTTTACAAGCAGAAATTGAAGATGCCTGGCTTATGGTTTTATATATATATTAAGAAGTTAAGGACATGTTATTTGAGACACTGGATTGGACTTGGACCAAGGCCTTACCCAAGTCTTCAGAAACTTTTGATGCATTTCCAGACAACTTCAGCACTAACTTTCTTTTTTTCACTTTTGGACCTTACCAATGTAATCTATAGTAAGAATATTGGGCAGGAAGCTGAATTATGAACCAGTAGGCACCATCTTCACTGGGTAAGTTCAAATATGAACGACAAGACTATGAAAAATAAGAAAGAAGTTTTATCGGAGTTTGTGCTTGTCTAACTGACCCTTTCCAAGACTGACTCAGAATTATTTGCTTTAGAGTCTAAGAACCCCCAGGTGTTTTTGTCTGGTAATACTTACCTTGTAAAAGAAATATTTATATGCTGATTTTAATGAAGAAACTGGTGCATCAGCCATTCTGCTCTTCCATCCAAGTAAAGAATTAAAGAGTATCTCTAAAAACTTTGTATTGCTTTCTTCTGGAAAAAGCATACTGAGTTTTTTTTTGGCTCTGATGAAGAAGTTTTATTTAGAAATGTAAAAAAAAACCATGTATTTTGATGCATCTTTCTGATGAAGAAGTGAATTTGGCTGCTGTATGTTTAATGGAGCACTGAAGAACGAATGTGCATTACCTACAATGTTCTGGCCGAGTAAGTAGTAAAACTTGCTGTCCCTTTGAAAAGTAGAAACATGAAGCTTTGCAATCTGCAAGCACAATTGACTCTGCATGGCTAACAATAACAAGTAAATCTGGCATAATCCCATGGATGTGATATATACTGTATTGTAGACATACAATGGACATGTACATAGAAATAGTAATCAGATACAAAATGTGCATTTAATTTAACAAGTAAAAAAATGTTTATTTACCCAGGAAGCAACTGGAAATAGAGTAGGTATATGTATCAATATTAAATGTATTTCTCTGTGAAATACATTACAAAATACGTTACGAAATACATTACTATTTCCATTCTCTGAATTAGCAGTGCTATAATTTTTATAAAGAACTAAAAATAGTTCTGTAATTGTCAGACTTATACTTTGCAAAAATTCAGTAAGTGAACAATGTAAATGGTAAATAAAGACTTTGCCTGAGATGGAACTAGATATTATTGCACACGAGTAGAATTCATATTATTCTTCCCTTTATTTTAAAAACAAGTGGAAAACAGGTATTTGTACATCTTTTATCTAAGTGACCTGAAACATCTCTGAATCTAATGCATTTTCATCTGAGTGTCCTTTCCCCACAGATTCAATTTTCCAGTTTATAACACTTAACAGTTTCACTTACAGATGTGCCATGTTCATAATACCATGATATCATGATAGGTTTCTTTTTGCTCTTTTCTTTTGCAGTTTCCATTATCCAAAATAAGGAAGCTGCTTATTTGATTTTTCCAGAGGAGGGAAGGATCCTGAAACACAAAGTCCTTTTTCAAATAAGCATAACAACGTAGATGTTGCTATGCTTAGGAGGCAGGATGGTGGCCTTGATAAATTCAGGTTGAAACCTGCAATAGTCTTTAGAAAAATACAATTGTAATGGTGAGGGAGTCAAATATACAATGTGTTTCTTGGTGTTACATTTTGTGGTGTTACCTGCTAGAGAAGTGCCTGTCTTGCTTTGAAGTAGGTGTAAGTAAAGTTTGCATCTGAGAGATCAGGTTATAATTTAGTTTCTTAGTGATTGAAGGACATAAACTGTAATACCAGTAACTGGTATTACATAAGAGGCCCTAATGAACTTCTGTGTGAGCCTGATCCACCACTGCTATGCCCCAGCGTTCTTGGGGCCTGTGGAGTAGTGCAGAGGCAGGCAGGCACACCAAGGATGTCGCATTTTTGTGGCAAATGCAGGGATTTGTGCTGAAGCAATTTTGGGGCTTTCAGACAGCTTCCCAGGGATCTGTTGTGGTTGTGGTCTCTTGTGTGTTAAGAGCCCTTGGAGTTGTTCACTCATACTCCAGGAACAGCATATAAATGCCTTTGTTTGATAGTCTAGGGTTTTAGTTCAGTTATATGACAATAAATTTCTTAGATTTATTTCTCCCTAGATGGTATGTGATATAATTTTCTTTACACTGCTTCTCTGTAGAGGGTGTATGTCTGTCACAGCCCCACTCTGGGGAACCTGGCTCTTTTAACTCTGTCATTCACTCTCACATTAAGTTGCTTGAATCCTTGGCTGCTGCATAAAATAGACTCTCTTACACAACCCTAGAAATTGCAATAATAAATTACTAAGAAGGCTTCATTTTTAAGGTTTTATCAATATATATCTCATGTATTAAGGTTGCACATCATGGCCAGGCCATTGCTTCGCTGCCAGAATCAAACACTTTGAAGAGAGCTATGGATTCAGCAGCACGGATTTGAAGCTGTGCAATGTGATTCTG